AGGTTCATCACCACAGCCTGCCAGCAGAACAGCCGCCTGTCTGCTGGGGGATAAACCACAAACCCTGGAGGTGCTCCTGGCACCTTCTGAAGTGCAATCTAAGGTGCATGTCAGCACTGATTAAATGGAAGCTTTATAGGAGGCGGTTTGGGCCTTGATTATTTCAGAAGCACCGGTAGGCAGGGAAGTGGATCGCTTGAGCTGTCAGCTGGGTGATTTACTGTGACTCCTATAGGGAATAATGAAGGTTGTGATAAACTGCAGTGTAAGAAGCCGGTAAATAACTTTTATGGTGAGACTGTATTTGGAAACACTGAATAACAGCAACTGGTGTCACAGATCTTATTGAAAGGCGCTTTCCAGAGTTAGGTATTTAAATGGACCTGGTGGCTCTAAGCTACCCCGAGAACTCTGCTGCCATCGATAGGATGACCTTAGGTTTGATTGAAGGAAAGGAAATGCCATCTGTAACATTACATTTTTATTGAGAATATAAAACAATTAACTCATTTGGAGAAGAGGAGGAGATGTGTTTATGTTAATGCTGATTTATTATTTTATGGCTTTTATAGCAAAACAAGACCTCCAAACCGTAGCATCCACTTGTTTTTTTTCAATCTTGGCCTATTTATCATCAGTTCTTTTTATCATGAAGCCCACACAAATGAAGAGAGACATTTATTATGTTCTTTTATTTCACAGTGCATAATTCAAATCTGGAAATGCTGTTTTCCAGAAGAAATACACATTTATTTTTAATACTTTTCTATAATTTTATTTTCAATGCTTTATTTTAAGAAGTCATCACATTTGGATGTTTATTTTTATTGTTTTTAAATTCAGCCAACTCTCTAATGTCGAGAGGAAAAATAAATCTCATGTTCTAGTATTAGGTAGAATTAGATCAATGGATTCTTACTAAAAATTATACATGAGATTCCTTTTATGATTTCATGTGGCTTTCAGCCAACTTTCTTTGCTACTCTAGCAAAGTTTTCAGAGTAACTAACTGAAGTGACGCTGAAATGCCATTTGCTTTTGGCATGTTAGACCGTGGCTGCTATACAATGGACGGGTGCTTGTACTGAGTGCACTTAGAATTTGGTTTGACGACAAAGTGGAGATAATGGTCCCAGAAATTTCTATGCACAGATCATAGGGACCTCTTCTCTGCTTCCCTGTGCTTTGGTCACTTAGGCAGCGTAGGAAGCTGACATTTTAGTTACTTGGTAGCTGTACTGACTGTGATGCATCACTGTGACATGCTGACAGACTAAAAATTAGGAAAAATCCTAATTTGTCAAAATTGAAATGATTCATAAAGCAGGATCCGTTCCCACTACTCTTAACTCAGCCAAAGCATGGAGCTGCTTTGTCAGAATGTGCATGGCAGGGTATTTTGGCATTTTGGAAACAGAAATCTTCATGTTTTTATATTAGTTGAAGCTACTTCCCACTGTGAGGTTTCAGAAAATGGAGACCAGAAAAATTAAATGAAAAAGGAAAAAAATAAATAGGAACAAAATGTTTGAAAATAATGACAACAAAGTGCCCTGAGTGACCTAACCTGAATGTTTTGTTCAGCTTCCAGTTTGACAAATCCCCATGTTTTCCTTACTTGACTGCAGCACAGAGCGCAAAGCAATGACAAGGCAGGATCCTTCGATTAGTGCAGAGGTTCCTCTTGCTGTGCAACAAGCATGTGAAATGGGGATGTAGCAACTCATCCCTGAGGACTAGGACTTAGACTGGGGCCCAGGATGTGTTCTGACCTTTCCAGCAATTTTGAGAAGGAGCAAGTTTTGCCTCTCTATTCCTGCCTCCCTTGTACTACTGCAAATAATATTTTTTCAGTCGAATTAGCAAAAGGCTTTTCATATGTGCAAGAAGGGATTCAGACAGTGGTAGTATATATATGAAGTATATAAAAATAGAATAAGAGCAGGTTGAAAAATGGCCAATTGCAGGCCTATTGTTCTTCATCTGTTCCCTTCCTAAGAACTGCCTGGTTTTGGTCTCCTCTGCTGTATCGCTCAGTGGTGCTGGTGCTGTCTGTGGAGCCAGCCCCGTGCCTGACCAGCCGTGAGTTTCTGAGCTCCCTTCTCACTGCTAAGCTGGGCGAGGTGGCAGCTTTTGCCTCTGCTCGGGCTCAGAGCTGCTGAGTGGATGCACAACGTCCTGCAGAAAGATGTGCTGCTCCTGCAGTGTGAGCGTACTCGCCAGCCCCAGAAAACCTGTACACAGGTAAAGTGATGTAGTTACCCACTACTCAGGGTTATGCTGTCATTCTGTATTAAGACAAATTAGTGTACTCGGAAGCAATCAGAAGTAATTACTCTTTAAGAAACAATAGGCGTCACTCTGTGGCTTCTATGTGACAGCTAAAGAACTTGGCTTCCTGTGAAAAACCCATACAGCTTAATCTTCTTGTGTCAGATCATATTTCCCTGTCTTCTCTCAGTAAATGTTTACATTGCTGCGGTAAAAGGGGCACTGTGTGATCTTGGCTAACAGGGGACTTGTGTGTTTAGAGATAGTAATGGGATCCAGTGTCTTTCAGCTATCACTCTCAAGAAGAACGCAAAGAGGGTTTGTAGGTTCAGAATAGCTCCACTGCAGGGGCTCGAGTGGTCCCACTCTTAGGAGGAAATCCCGATTCCACGAACCCAGCTCCTGCTGTTACATGAGCTGACACCGCGACAAAACAATGATGGGAAACAAAATGATAGGAAATGAGCACAGAGTCCTGGCTGTTCTTTTGCTCTCCAGGTAAGACTGTGAATGATGCTTCAACTGGTTCACGTTAGGCATGTAAATATTTGCAATGAATCGTGCTTCTGCCACCCCTACTGCTGCATTTCCATCCCCATCACCTGCCTGTCATTTTCAGATGTTCCCTTAAAGATCAAACCCTTTCTGAGAGCTCCTGTGGGATCTTTGAACTGTTAGAGAAATTCGAAGTCAGTGTGTGAGTAAAGCCCACATTTTACATTCTCTGGGAGGAAACGTGGGATTCATCTCAGTGAAGACGGTGCCAAATAGTGGTAGATTGAGATCCAGGTGAGCTCCACGGTTGTAGTGATTGTCAAGTGTGCTTCTTTCTTAGGTAGCAAAGAGTCTAAACTTCAGATCCTGACAAATGCCATTATCTCCGTACTTCCTTTTTATTAAACAGTTTGCTCTCACCACTGATGCTGCCCACAGAGGGTTGTTTCAGCCTTTTGTAACTTATATTTGTGGTAGCTTGTGGAAAAGGAAGACAGAGTAACAACAGAGTGGTCCTGTGGTTAAAGCAGCTAGGTAGCGTGTAGGAAGTCTGGGTTCAGCTCCTGGCTTTGTTGTGGATGTGCTCTGTAATTGAATACACAGTTGCTGTTCACCTCAGTTCTCCTCCCATCAGATAGAACCATCAGAAGGTTATTGTGAGGATGCATTCACTGGTGAGAGATTGAAATATTGCATGTTGTTGGGAATGTGGAGATAAAACAGTGATAAGCCAGTCGCATGCTGTCCGTAATTGGGTTTTGCTGTAGCTGTGAGAACTAGCAGTGAGACAAGACTTTTAGGGAGAGTCTCTGTCATCAGACTAAACTTAGTTGACCTTTATTGGTCTCCAGGAGATAGTACAACTCTCAAGAAACTTTGTTTTCCTTGATTTCTTCATAATGAGGGTAGTGTAGCACTGGAATGGCCAAAGAGGCTGTGAAATCTCCATCTTTGGGCATTTTTAAGATGCAGCCAGCCCAAGCCATGGCTGACCCGGTCTGGTGTTGGCAGCAGTCCTGCTTTGAATGGGTTGGTAGGCTGGGGATCTCCAGAGGTCCCCCTCCAACCACTGGTTCTGCGATTCTGTGATTCCAATGATCTTTGTCTTACATGGAAGTACCAGTTATTTTAGGAAACATCTGTATCTTTGTGCAGTCAAAGCAAACAAGATAGCAGCTTATTATCATTTATTACTAGTGCTAAGTGAGTATTCTAAAAAAGGCAAACACTTGCATAGCCTTGTTTTCTGTCTCTCTCAAAGCAAAATTAAGGGTAGACATTATGTTTGATATAGTATTCACTATTCAAATTACTTTTTATATTTTATCTATTGGTTATATGTATTACCTAATACTTAGTTTGATAACTGCACACTGTTATCACTTCTGTATAGTAATACCGAGACAAAAATGTTCAAACATTAACTTTACAACCTTATTGCAAAATATAGCTTACATGAGTGACTTACGAGGATACTTGAGGCTGAAATATCTTCTTTACCTACAGACATTTCAAAATAACACATATATGCTCTGCAGAGTTAACAGCTGTTACTATTCCACTAATGGGAGGTATTTACTCTTTCTTATGTAGAAGATAAAGCGTTATGCACTTCTGTCTTAAGCTCAAGGTCCATGTAGTCCTATCGCTATAAGAGAAACCAGCAGAACTTAATTAGTCCTCGCAAAACTCGGAGTGACTTGTGTGTATCCTCCTCTAGCTATTAGCACTAACAGCTCTCCCATAAAGCACAAAAACTGTAGTGTAGTAATAACATGAGGTTCTCGTTTTATATTTTTATGTTTACTACTTGTTACTATTTCATGTACATGAAATGATATAAAAAGATGGTGTGCATGCATATTTACAAGAGCGCACGATGTAATGAATTCTGCATGTTCTATTAATGAGCTCTTAAATCCGGGTTTTGTCTGTGGAGGAAAATCGGTGCGTTTGCATCCGTCATTTTGTCCTGATGCTTATATGAAAAGGGCATGAATGACAAGTGCCAGGAATTAGGGAAATGAATGACACTGGAAGTCAAGATGCTGAGTGGATGTTTGTTTGTCTCGGCTTATTCCTCCTTACATCTTACATCTTACACCATACATCCACAGGAAATACCTGCATTCTCCACTACTACTGTCTTTGTCCTGAAAAGAAATGTAATAACTGTATTACAATGTGTTTTTTTTTTTTTTCCTTTGATGTTAATCTGATAATTTCTTTTTAAGCACAAAGACCTGGCTTGTTACTCTGCAATGAGTGTGCTGGGAGAAAGTGGAAGGAACCTCGCCTCGCGCAGCCGTCCCTGCTGGGTACTGACGGGGTGCCTCCGGTGGGTGCGAGAGAAGAGGAGCAATGACAGTGACATTTTGCTGATGTTCTGGGAGCTCCAGAGCTGACTGCATGAGCTGCCATAGCATGAGCTCCAGCACCACGACTCCCAAGTGGATTTGTTTCATCTGCTTCAGGCTGGTAATGCACCACCCGTGGGACCCCGTCATCAGCTCCTAGAACTCAGGCAGTGCCCGCTGCTGGCCTGCGAAGTACCCAACGGAGGGCGTTCTCCTGGGGTATGTAGATCCCCAAGGAGGGAGACAGGGCTGTGAGCAGGGCGTATTATGGGATTGAACTGAGATTCAGCCGAGGCCAGTCACCTGTGGGTTGCCTTACGTGCTGCGGCTGGGTGCTCTGGCTGGGCTGCAGGAGGCAGCAGTCTCCTCCCTCATACAGCCTGCTGTCAGTGTGGGGCAGGGGAGGACAACATTTGGCAAAGAGGCAGAAGGCCAAGCAGAGGTACCAAGTCATAGTAGGCTCCATTCTTTTACCATGGGTTCTCCCCCACCCACCTTTTTTTTTTTTTTTTTTTTAAGGTGAATTCAGTAGACTGATCCCAGTTTCAAGAGGCAGGCAGCAGTGCAGGGTACTATGGCTGCTACAGCAACTTGGGCTGGCTCTGGAAGGATTCCTGAACACAGAAACCCAAGTTATTCTGTTCTGTAAAGGTCTTTGCACCGTGCTTTCTGCCATGACATCCAAAGGCTGTGGTTTCAGCAGCAGAGCTAACAGCTGCCTCGTGTCATTTGCTGTCTTGTTCTCTGCCCAGGCAGGGAGTAGAGCAGCTTGTTTCAGCAGGGACTGTCTGTCTAAATGTGTACTCTGCTCTGTGTTTATGTTGGAAAAAGAAAGATCAAAGCGTGTGCTTTGAGCTAAAAATGGAGGCTGCGTGATGAGGGACCTCATCTCACTCCTGGTCACATACATATGTACATGTATGTCCCTGTACGTGCCCGTGCCCCTCATCACCACTGGAACCCAGGCTGGGAGCCACTGCCCTGAAATCGGGCTGTTCCTTTAGATGGAGATGTCTCCCTGAAAATCAGGCTGTTCCTTTAGATGGCCATCAGAGGTCAGGGCTGCCTTTGCAGGGAAGTAGACTTAACCTTATCTGTGACTAATTAGTTTTCTGTTTGCAATGAGGAGAGACTCAAGATCAGCTGATGATAGTGAGCCTGTTGAGTCAGAACAAAGCCCTGTCCAGCCTGGTGGCCTGTCTCGGAGAGTGCTGGTACTGGAAGAGTAAGAAAAGAGCACAAAAGGGGACACAAAGACCAGAATACTTTTTCTGATGGGTCTTTCCAGCTTCTGCTACACTGCATGGAGGCAATTCCTGAGCACCACGCTGCATCTGGACTGCCATATTTAATGGCTGTCAGTGGATTCCTTGGATTTATCTAAATTTTTGAACCCATTTATTCCTTTGGACTCTCTAACACTGAAACATTGACCTCCACATTCCACTACCCATTGTGTAAAAAGGGTTGCCTTTTTTTTTTTTTTAAGGCATGCTTTCAGATAATTTTATTGGGTGTTATAAAGATCAAAGAGTAATTATTCCCTGTTTGCTTTCTCCATTCAGCTCCTTGTTAAATATCTCAATCACATCCAAGTTGAGCTGTCTGATAAGCAATCAAGTCCTTGCCTATGACACCCCTTCAGTTTTAGGAGCCATTTGCTACCTCTGATGCTCTTGCTGCCTCTCTTAACTCTACCTCTTTGAGATGGCATGACCAGAATCACATGCACTGCTCGAGACATGGGCTCACCAGGGACTGACAAAACTGCAGAGTGATGTTTTCCATTTTGTTGTCTCTTCCTTTCCCATTTGTCCTTAGCATTGTGCGGGAGTTAACAAGCAGCTCTATTGTTAGAAGAGCCTACAGGGAGAGCCTCACAGGCTCCTCCTGGAGGAAGGATGCGGGTAACAGGACATGATTTATCTGTTTAATTTATGTTGGACTGTTTGATTTTGCAAAATTAACTTCCTCCCTGAAGAAGGATGTCAGATGAAATTTTCAGTTGAAAGGTGCAAGGGGAGAGCGAGAGATTAGCGTTCATAGCAGTGCAAAGCTGCATGCTTTGATCCTTCGTCATCCTTGCTGCTCTTCTCCACTGCATATCTTGCCTACAGGACAAAGTTTGGGGGCAGGACTGGGGAGACTGCCTTATCCTGAAACTGCCAGCCAGATTGTTTCCCTTGGATCAGGCCCTATCTCGGCAGTTATGTCCTTGGCTTTTCACATGCAAAAGAAGCACTTTATTAAAAGAAACTGAATACTTCCCAGAGTCTGACGGCTTGCATTTTGAACTATCACCCCTAACAAGGGACCTTAAAACTGACCCCAAGACGTTAATTTAACCATTACAATTCCATTAGTCTAATTTGTCATGAAACATCTTTAACTAATTACCTGCATTTGTAAGTTAGTCCACATGTCATGAGATAAGAAGTCAAGCGTAGTCATAGGTCACTGCTCTCGGCTGCCATCACATAACACAGACCCTAGATGAAAGGGAATTTAGACTTGATAGGAGGAATCTAAATGACAGCTCCTCAGTCAGTAAAGGCAGTCGTGGCTGTAATGTAAAAATTGGACCACTGTTTTAGAAGGGGCGTTTTGGAAAGGAGGGGGCATGCCCTCATTAGCAGAATTAGGGCTAGGCAGACAGAGAGCATAATGTGTTCCCTACGAGCATTTGTCTTGAAGGTGGCAATTTGATAAATACAGGTCCCCACTAAAACCATTTGCTAAATGTGGTAGACAATAGTATCAAACATTTACGGCTGAATTTAGAACTGTCCCTTTTCAAAGAGACCTGATTATGTCCTAAATGTTGCTTTAAAAAGCTCATTTGGGAGCTGCTGTTGGTTTCCTTACATGACAAATGCCGAAACAGAGGGAAAGACCAATTAGGAGTCTGATTAAAGGTTGCTCAAGCCTTTCATTGAGTATTATGTTTGGATTCAGCTCCCTATTACTCGTTGGAAATCTGCCCGTGAGTTTATAGCGGGAGCTCCAATGTGCTGCGTGCCACAAACACTTCTCTCGCTCAGATTTAGGCAACCGTAAACTTCCCCTCATTTCTCTTGTTCCTGTGCCCATAACGTTCCCCTAGAGACCAGATGAAGAGAAGGATATGGTATATGATTAAAGCAAGACAAAGCGTTTGGAAAATTCTCTCACTCTTGTTTCTGCTCCCTTTTACACCAAGAGAGGGGGGTGCAGAGGGAGGTGGTTGAGAGAGGGTCCCCCTGCCAGCATGCCAAGTGTCATTGTCATATTGCTGGCTGCCTGTGCTGGGCGTGAGGAGTAATTAAATCCCGGCCTCCCCCACCCCTCCATCCCTTAGCTGATCCTTACAGACAGCAAATGCAATTGAATTCCTCACTTCCATCACTCATTTGATCAATACAAAGGACCAGGACGACACAGCTCTACCGGTCCGGCCAGCCCTACCTTTGTAGTCCCTAAGTACAGGCTCTGTCCGAGCCATAAATCACAGCTCCTCTAAATTAGAGAGGCTGCCAACACATCAGAGGGCTGGAGCAGGAGCTCCCTGTGATCACAGCAGGGAGGGGAGGATAAGGAAGGCCCTGACCAAGCTGTCTTTGCTCTAGTCAGGAGCTTTATTCAAACAGCAAGGAACAGCGTGGGCCTGGGAGCCTCTGTGCTCCTCTCCCGGGTACCAACCTGCTGCCGTGGCTCAGCAGTGCTCTGCTGTTACCTGCTGGCCTCAGGAAAAGCCGAAATCCTCTTTGTGCAGGCTGTAAGGCAGCCGCTGAGATTAGGAGGAAACTTCTGGTGCTTTATTGCTGCAGACTTTATGCCTTCCTCCAGATGCCTTTCTTAGCATCCCTGTGCCAAGGAGGGGCTGACTGGTTTGTGCCCACCCCTGCCACCAGCCAGCACCGGGTGTGCTCAGTCCTCGCCGGGCTGTCCCCAGCCCCTGCCACGTGGCAGCAACAGCCCTGCGCCTTCACGTGATGTGGAGGTACGAACACCATGGCGCTCCTTCCTCTCCTCTGTTCCCCTGTTACTCTTCTACCAATATTCCTCCAGGTCTTTAAACGTAAATGAATCTTCAGGTCTGCAGATCTTTAGCCTGTCGGTGATGGGCATAAGGTATCTCCCGGGCTGAAATGAAAAATCACAGACAATCCATCCTTTCGATCTCCTGCTTTTATCCTAAGCTGATAAGAGAGGCCCTCCTGTGCTTGTCAGCTTTGCATTCTTGGTGTGTGCTGCATAGCTGGGTATTGCAGATTAAAGGTGAAGAGTTGAACATGGAAAAAAAGCAGGAGTGAAGCAACTGTTTAATGAGATAGAGAGGCTTTCCTCTTGAAAACTGCTTATCCATATCCTGTCTGTTGGTAATTGCCCAGAGTATTTTCTTTATGGAGCATGTTAGCACTGTTTTCACAGTTTAATATATTTTACCCTCTTGCAGGATCATCTTTTCACCTTGGTAGCATTAAATCATTCTTTACACAGATTGTAAAAAAAAAAAAAAAAAAAAAAAAAGTCACCCACCACAGTTTTTCAAGCTGTTTAGTTCTGCCCTGTGCATCTTTTGTCTTTTAATTACAAGTGTTCATGTATGCCGAGGAGCCAAAGCTGAGATGGTCTCAATCTGTCTCTAAGTTTGATCCCATGCAGTTCCAGATTTGAAGTCTTTTCCACCCAAGCCTGTAACACAACCTCTGAAGTTACAAATCCAGATATTGTGGAACTCACAATGCTAGGATGTGCAATGCTGACACAATCAAACCTTGGAAATACGAGGTTTTGGCAGTTGTTTTGGCTCAGTCATGTCACTGTAGGTCTGTCTGTCTTTCTGCTAGAGTTATTTTCATTTTTTGCAACCTCCTCCATGTTCCTTGCTCTGTTTTTCAGGTCGATCTTTGCCTCCTAGCGCCTTTAAGAGTCTCAGGTGGGACAGCAGCACCACCAGATCCCATGGCTCGCTGATGTTTTCATGTGCCGGGATTCACCTCCAGGAAGAGATCTAAGAAAGCATCATTAAAAATCTGCATAAGCTTATGGGAGCAGAAAGTTGACTGGAAAATGGCTCACGTATGTATGCTGCCACTGCCCATACTGCTGTCTTTGTTGGTCCCTGGAGAGGCGCTGGGAGAGTACAACGGTTGCTGACAGTGAAAAGTGAGAGAAGAGAAGGGATGCATTTATCAGGGAAAGATGCAGTCATGACTCTGGCTTGGCATGATAAACAGCATGCACTGCTCAGAGATCTGATTGCAGACAGGTCAAATTCCCCTGCTCTCTCCCCTGCTTGCTGCTGGATTCCGCTGCGATTGATGCGAAGCAGCCTGGCTCTGTGTCCCCTCTGCGCTGTGGGGCTCGGGAACAGGGACAGTTTGGGGTTGGGAAGAGACCAAACTGGGATTTTTCTAATGCCAAAAGTTCCTGATCTCATTGGTATAGATGATGTCAGTGCTTATAGATGTATAAATGATTATTTGTCATTCTATGATGATTATAAGGGGTGGAGAAATGGGGGGATCTTGGGTAGAGTCTAGGAGTGGTCTGAGGTGAGGTGGGGGCTTCTGGTATGGTAGAGGCTTGGGAGTGTGCTTGGGAGAAGATGGCAGCACTGGCTTGAAACGCGTTGCCACAGCCTGGAGCAGGTAAGGATGCTGGGTTTAAGATCTAGGACAGAAGAGAGAGAATGTGTCTCACAAGGGATTGAAGGAGCTTATTTTGGGGATATTCGTGCAACTGTCCCTCCCCCGTCCTGTGCACTTGAGTGCCCATCACAGTCAGTTTTGCTGATGGAAATGCGGTGGCTTTGTTTTCTGCCCCACCTTCACCTCCTTGCCTCTTTACTTGTCCGCACAGTATCATATATCCTGTGGCATCATATAATTAAACTAGATGATTATGCAGATGCAAATGAATCCCTACAGAAACCTAGTACATGGACAAAACACCACGAGCAAGTTCTAACTGATTATGCAGCTACAGAGAAGATTCTTTTTAAAATTAAATATACTTTTACATTTTTTTCATCTTTTTTAATGCTAACAACGGAACATTTTCCTCTCCAGGTAAAATCTGAAATAGATGAAAGGGAGGAAAGACAGCACAGAGTTACTTAGGGAAGTACAGGCTGTAGGTTTCTGGGCTCCAAAGAGCACAAAATCTTTCCACCCATTTGCAACACCCCTCGCCACTGCATGCAGACTGCAAACCCTCTGTGCGTTTGGCTTCCATGTCTGTGATTCCCACTCCCTTTTTTAATATTGTGAATTTTCTTCCCAGACCCCCCAAATATTTTGGCCCTGCAAGTGCGCTGGATTTTTTATTACTGTGGAAACTCCTTCTTTTATTCCATTTCTGCACTGCTGCCTTCAGTTCGTGATTTCTGTTCCTCTGTGGCCTCAGCGAGTGCATACTGCGGCCTGAACGGGGGCGGTTTTCTCTGCAGTTTCAGTGAAACGCAGCTGTGTGTTGCAGGCACAGATAAGGGTGGTGGAGGGACTGCAGCCCTCTCGCTTGCGCCATTTCTCGTTACGTAGTGGAGAAGAGGTGCTGCTTTTTCCTTCTCCATCATCCATCTGCTTTTATTGAGCATTTACAATTGCCAGGATGTGATGCTAACACTACCGATGTTTCCTTGTCCCGAGGCTTGATGGATACATTCGGTGCCCCTGTTAACCTCTCTCCTTTCTCAGTAACACCTTTGTGATGATTTTGCCTTTCCAAGCCACAGTTGATATCACAAGCCTTCACAGCAGTGAATCCAGCCTCTTTTGACTTCTTTCCCAAAGGTGTTGAGTTCTGAAAGGGGAAAACTTGTTGAGGATATTTTCCATTGATATCAGCGGATCCAGAATTTCTTCTTTCTTATCTACAGTGCTGCTCATTCCTTCTCCATTGCTTTCAGCAGGGAGGGGCAGATTCTGCGTACAGAATACAACCATCATTTTTAAGGGAAGTAGGAAAGAAAATAAAGAATCAAAAGCAAAACTATCAACATTTTCTGTCTCAGGATACAAATCCGGTGGAGCTGCCTTGACACTTGTGCTGCCAATTAAAGGACAGCATGTTATGTGAAGAGCAATACAGAGGCTTCTCTAAGAGGGAGCTTGCAGCATAGCAGGAGATGCCGTGTCTGTGGGAGAACCAAGGATCAGCTGCTGCCTGAAGCAGAGACTGTGCAGACAGCATCTTTGACAGCATTCCTCAGAGCAACATCCAGAACTCTGGCAGACCATAGCACAACTTTTCTACCTCATTATGTGCTGAGAAACAACTGGTTTGTACTCATTAGACACTAATCAAGGTCACCCCTTTGTTGCTGAATGCTCTCCATTCACTACACTGTTGGCAGGAGGGCTTGCTCTGCTCCTGTGTGCTCAGGAAAGAAAAAAAACACACACACAAAATAAAAGGACAAGAAATCCTTTGGTCAACCATCTGTTGGAGCACAGGCTGTGGACACAGTGCAGATACAAACGCCTCGATGCATTTTGCAGGTGTGCCCTGTGACCCATCTTTCCATGGAGGAATTCAGTGGGAAAACAGATTGCACTAGACTGTTCCTGCAACTGCAGTTAATCGCGCCTTTTCTATATTACTGCTACAGGATTAACACAAACATTGCTCCTATTTTCAGGCTTATCAAAGGCAGCAGCACATCTCTCTAATCTCCTATTTCCCTGCTCTCTTTAAAGTGTTGAAATGAATGGAGCGCTGATGAGCAGGGATGTGGTGCCAGCAGGGATGGTGTCATTTAATGCCTCGCTATTTATGCTATTTAATGCCTGTGTGGCTTTATGTGTCCTGAGTGACTTGCTAACCATCTGGCACCCTCCACCCTTTCATAGGGCAGACGGAGGTGTAGACAGCATCTTCATTTGTCTCCAGTCCAGAGTGACCAGCAGCAATAAAGCAGCATAGTTCTGACGTGCCCATTTCAGCATAGCCTGCACCTGCTGCCGCTGAAGGATGAAGCTTGGCGGTTGTGGTCTAGCGATCCTCGCTACCAGGCAGTTTGGATGTGGATGAGCTATAGGCACACACCTATATTTCTCTTGAATCGGTTGGCACGTGCAACCTGAATTTTATTTCTGGCTGTGAAAGGCCCAACGCTATCTGATCCGCAGGAGCACCTGTTTGTACAGAGTTAACTCGTCAAGAGCTTTTCGGGGGAGCTGGAATCAGCAGAATTGTATGTATCACATCAGCTTCTTGTCCTAAGAGCCCTACAGCTGGATTTACAGTGCCATTGAATCACAGCCTGAATCTTTAGCTTTAGTACTTTCGCTAATCACAAATAGTTGGGTTGTGTCCTCCAATCTACGAGGAAGTGGGCTGAGATCCACCCTACTGTTTTCACACCACTGTCAGCTGGCATTAACTTTCAGTCATTTCTCTTTTCATGCCAGACTGAAATCAGTGACCTAGAAGTAAAATACTCTGTATTTTGTTAGCAAGCAGTGCCCTGGAGTTGTGCAGTCTAAGTGGGCATGTTTTCTCAGCTAGCTCTTTTGTATATCTTGCAATTGTGGCAATTCTACTGTAATTACCACCAGGCCTCTTTAGTAGCAGAATTTATTATTTCCTTTCCACTTTCTCCTATGTATTTCTGCTTGGATCACAGTAAATTAAGGACTTCCTTTAGTATTTGAGGGATCATGATATCCTACTCTAAAGCATTCATTTTCAACGATGACATTCTCAGAGGTTATTTTACAGATTCACTGAGATTTTTGCAAGGAGGGCAAACTGGATTCTGTCTGTTTGGCACTTACTGCGCTGTCTGTTAGCGGTACAGCTGTGGGATCTGACCCTGAAAGTGCTGAAGCCTGTGAGAGTATTTGCAGGAAGTAAGGACTAGTCATGTGTGGAGCATTTTCACAATCAGCCTTCGTGTTTATTCGGAGCACTTGTGGACAGTGCTGATAGTCTGTGGGGAGGTGCTGGCTGCCCTTTCCAGTGATATTGCTGAAGGTTCGCTTTATTCATCGTTTTATGGAAGTCTCCAGTTCACGTTGTGACTTTAATGCAGGCTGTTAATATGAGTAAGTTATATCACCATGGTTTTTTGGCATTCAGATTCAAGGTCAGATCCAGTGGGCCAATTTATGGGAGTATCTAATGAATTGCCAGCATCCCAGGAAGTACACAATTTGAGATTAGAAGCAGCACCATCTTATTACTGTGATAGTCAATTGTGAGTGAAAGTGCAGTGGAAGTAAGGACAGGGTAATGTAACATGTGAGTGGAACAGCACTCAATCCGTGTATTATGGAATTGTCATTCTCTGCCACGGTTCAGCATAAATGGACTAATCTTCAGCTTGAAAATGAGGAGAGCTTGACTGTTAAAGAATAGGTCATTTGGCTTCTGGCAAGTCGAAGATGCTGTAATATTAGCTGTAAGAACTTGTGCATTCTTAGTAGGGAGATAAAAATGATTAAATTGCACTACTTGCTTCTCTGTCTTCTGAAGTAATTCGTATTTGGCCCTGGATTCGTCTAAGCATTTGCATAATTCCTAGGGCTATTCCTATTCAGAAATGCATTTCAGCTTGTGCTTAAACTTAAGCAAGGGCTGAAGTTCTGTTCGGTTCCTGAGGCTTAAACTTTGCTGAACAAGGTATTGGCCATTAGCTTCAAACATGTCAGGAACTTCTGAGATTGCTGTGATGTAGCAAGGGAAGGTTTGCTGTGCTTGTTTTATTATGAATATTCTTTCGTGACTCAGTAAGGTTAGGGGTGAACATCTTGGAGCCCTAGAGAGGATCATTTTCAATAGAGTCCTCTGTTAGAAATCCAAGAGCCAGAGAGCTGGGGTCATGGCTCCCAAGAGTTTTATGGACTCTGCAAAACTGGCAGTCACACTGGCTGCCTTCCTTCCGCTGGGTCCTTCCTCAAAAGGAATGAGTGGAGCCAAGGGGAAGGTTTTGTTGGGCTCCTTGGGACGTGGAGTTCTGCAGGCCAAATTCTGTTCCGAATTATGTTTTATTATTGCAGAGTAACTTAACTTTGGTAGGGCCAAGCCAGGTGGTAGCCATTGTCGATGCAAATTGTAGTACAGTTAAAAATTTTTTGAAAAATTCCAGTATTTCCATATGTATTTCTGTCCAAGCTTGGGAGGAGGGTGGAGAAGAACCTCAAAATGCTGAATTTATTTTTTTTTGTGGGTATGGGGAGCTCAAAACATATTGCCTGGCATTATCAGGCTATTATGTGTCAGTTGAGTTTAGCATCAGAACGTGTCAGCCACTGCAGCTCCACTGCTTCGGGAGGATGTGTGTGGGAACTGGAAATTTTAAACTAGGGTTGACCCCAATCAAAAATGAAATGTTCGGTTACAGCTCTTTAAAGAAAATACAATGAAACAATTGACTTTTTTTTCTTTCTTTCTTTCTTTCTTTCTTTTTTTTTTTTTTTTTTTCCGTTGGAGAAAATCATTTTCAAACATTTGGTAGAAAATCCTCCACAGAATAGACTTATGGCCTGAAGTCTTGTTCACAGTAAAACTGGTGGGAATTTTGCTGTTAACTTTCATGTAGCCAGGATTTCACTGAGGTTTCTGTTGCAGCAGGAGGGATAGCGTGGCCCTTTATCTGGAGGCATTAGTGTAGCTTCAAAGCCTCTTGGCCCACTTAAGAAATAAAAAGCATTCTTATGTATCTCGTTGATTTGTCAGAGGTCTTGGTCCACTGAAAGTAACACAGTTTTTGTCTCTATTCCAGGGAGCCACAAGGAGCTTAATCTATATTTGTTAAAATGAAGACCTGTAGCATGTTCTTCTAACGCACCAGTAGCAGGAGAAAGGGCAAATGTCCAGGTTGGTGCTCAATTTCGCTGGGCTCTGTTCAGAACATTGCTGTAAAATGTTTGTTCTGTGAAGAGGAATCACCGCAGGTTCCAGATGTAGGTGTTTACAGTGGGCCCGTGTTTCTGTTTTAATGTAGTGCTGTGCATCATGCTGTCGCTGTTTGCCTGATCCCTGTGTACGAGATGATTCACCTGCTGCAGAATTTTTCTGTCTGTATAGCAGATTTTATTAACCCCCAGAGAGGCTTATTTGGAAGCTGATTTTCCATCCCAGACTGGGGTCCTGCTATTAACAATCTTCTGTGAGTAAGCAGCGGTTCGTTTCATTGCTTTGTTACCTCTTAACCTGGGACAAGAGTGTCAACAGTCGTGAGAGAGGGAGGAGAAAGGGCTGGAAGAATCAGAGGAGAGGAGGAAATAAATGCTTCTAAGGCAAAAGGAGTTTTCAGTGAGCAATTATCATCTGGAAATTTGCTAAGAGGCTTTTGCAATGCTTTTTATAAGCAACGTTAAATGTAATTTTAGTTAATTCTGGACTTAACCTGCCCACTCATCCTTGGATTTAGGGCTCACTCGAAGCAATTTACCAGTTTTGCACTTCAAGCTAATCTGTACCTGTTTTACCGGCAGGTTTCACTGCACTGAGGACAGTGACACAAAAAAAAGCAGTACTTTTCAGGGAAGAAACGGTTCCTAGGAGGGGCCTAACAGCAGAGTTTGAAAAGCACCGTGTTCCCAAAGAAGGGCCAAGTTTTTCAGAAGGGCTGAACACCAAGCACTCCTGCTGTGACAGATGGCTGAGTATTTCAAAAGATCATGCCATTAAAGCTGGCTGGAAATTGTCTATTCTCTTGTTTTTGACAGGAACTTGGGTTTTCTATTAAAAATAATAATGGTGCAGAATGGGCAGATTTCCTTTCAGCATTCTATTTTTATGTGAGCGTTTTAATTGTTTTGGTCAGGGAAACTCTCCCTCCCATGGTACATTCCTCTGCAGCTTGCTGTGCTTGGAGAGACATGTGGTAGCAGCCCTGCAGAGAGGGACTTGGGGGTACTGATGGATGAAAAGCTCGACAAAAGCTGGCAACGTGCGCTTGCAGCCCAGAAAGCCAACCGTGTTCTGGGCTGCTTCAGAAGAAGTATAGCTAGCAGATCGAGGGAGGTGATTCTCCTTCTCTGCTCTTGTGAGGCCCTACCTGGAGTGCTGCATTCAGCTCTGGGGCCCCCAGCACAAGAGAGGCACAAACCTGTCAGAAAGCTGGGGAGGGACTCTTTGTCACGGGGTGTGGTGAGAGGACAAGGGAGAATGGCTTTAAAATAAAGGAGTGTAGGTTTAGATTGGACATAAGGAATCAATTCTTCACTCAGAGGGTGGTGAGGCACTGGAACAGGTTCCCCAGAGAAGCTGTGGGTGCCCCATCCCTGAAATGGTGAAGGCCAGGCTGGATGGGGCTTTGAGCAACCTGGGCTGGTGGGAGGTGTCCCTGCCCATGGCAGGGGGGTGGAATGAGATGAGCTTTAAGTTCCTTTCCAACCCAAGCCATTCGGTGATAAATGCTTCTGAAAGTCTGATCACCTGTTCTGGTACCTCAGTGGCAAGCAGCTTTTCTGAAGCTCTAGCCAAACACAAGTACACCGTGATGTGGTGGACAGGACATCACAGTGTGCTACTTGCCATTCAGGTTTTCTTGGGTAAGTTCCCATTTCAGTTTTCCAGAGTGGGATAGGGTTTGAAATATTCAATTTGGAATCCTGAGCATATGAACTTCAGCGGGTGAATGCCCGCACTTGTGGCTGTTCACATTCAGGACTGGGTGTGCTCGGCCCTCTGGAAGGGCAGCTGTGTCTGTATGTAGCTGTGCACTCAGAAGATGTGTCTGGCAACTTGAAACCATTTCTCAAAATCTGTGCTTTAAGATTTCCTTGGTATAACTTTCTGATCTGTAAACTGGAAGTAATTTTCTATCCTCAGCAAAGGACTTATAAATATCAGTGTTTATGCATGCAACTTTGGAGAAGCAGAAATACAAAAAATTCCTTCTTTTCCATCGAATGTCTTGGAGCTCTTTTAAACTGCTAATTAATTGAGCAATCATAATGATACACCCGTGGGGATGAAGGGGGAGGAATAATTTACAGGTGGGTGAAATGAGGCATGAATGACTTCCTAGCCTTACCTGTGCCATGCCGTTAGTCTGTGTCAGATCCAGACAAATACCTTCTGTCCTGTCTCCTTTTTCATCTGTGATAAGTGGCTGGGAACATCAGCTTCCTCCCCCCTTCCTCTTCTTCTGCAGAGGACTCGTTTCCTTATCACCATTCTGCTGTTTCATTGTGAGCACGAGGAGTCCATGTGGCCCATCTTTTGGGGGGAGCAGACTTAGAAGCTGGGACATTTTAAATCCCAAGTGCCAGCCACTGGGTGGGACACAGCCGAAGCTCCACAGCATGGGAGAAAGGGAGTCAAAAAAAAAACTCCAGGTGTTCTTAGCACAACCACACATCCTGCCCTGTCTCTCTCCTCCTGACTTTACGTGCAGCTGGATTATGATGTGCCATCCTCTGCACATCTCCCATGGTGATTCAGGTTCTATCCGTGCTGCACTGAGCAGTGCCTGAGGAATACCTGACCTGACTCTGAAATGGCAGCTGATCTCCAAGGAGAACACAGCCTCTCTTTGTTGTCCTCTCTCTCCTGTCTGTATCCTTGTGTCTGAGGTCAGTAGACTTCTGTACAGAAAACAGTGTGAATCTTCAGGAATATGTAGAATAAATGAGCACAGGGATGAAAATCTGTGGGAAGGGCAGGGTAAAATACTGCTTAGGCAAAGACCTGTCACACAATTTCACCTACAGTTTGGCTGGGGATCTTGCTTAAATTTAGTTCTTAAACACAGCTGTGAAGCTCATGAAGATGCCACATTGGTTGCTCACCAAGCAACATTTATATCCTCCTGGGAAGGTAATAAAAACAGCAATAGTGAGCAGCAATTCTAACACAGGCTGGTTTGCCTCATTCTTCTGGCTGCTCCTTGTCATGCTCCTGCAACTCAAGTCATTAAGTTCTTCTTCTAGCCAACCTGGGTGCGGACTACATCTACCCTGTCACTTATTCTTATGTGTAGAGGAAGAGAAAAATACTGATATAATTTACTGGTCTCTGTAACAGAAGTTTTTTTATTTAACTGACAGGGCTTATGGTTACCTTTAGACATAGCTTTTTGAATAGTTTTTCGCTGGACAGCAGTGATAAGCCCTTCAGGAAAAAAGCAGTGGTAAGTGGTGGCTCGTGATATACATTTTGTACTCTTTTCTGTAGCAGTGGTAGTAGTGTTTGCTATTCTATTTCAGTTGATGTATTGTGTAAAAAAAAAAATCTGGTAAAGCTGCTATCCCATATGTGGTGAATAGAAGTCTATTGATTTCTAGCTTTCCTACTTGCATTTTACAGACCCCTACCGCATCTGGGACCAGAGCTTGAAAAGCCCTCTTTACTGAAATGGATTGTCTTCTGCAGGTCATTGACACTCTATATTCTGCCTTATCTAAATTAGGCAGTCTCTGGTATTCTCTGATCTAATCCCAAAAGTAAAGGGTGTGCGTTACGTGCAGATGTAATGCTTACACATAAATTTCCCATTGAGCAGTTATTGGAAAAGGAGATGAAAGCAGGTAGAGCTTGACCCTGCAG